CTTAGGATGTTAAATGAGTAGATGCGAGTGGAAGGACTACATTTTGAAGTGAAGCGAGTGCGTGTGGTGAGGAGTTTCCTCATAGTGCCATGTGCCATGGCTAGTGTTGCCTACGCCATGGCACACAGCACAGAAGTTAGCTAATAAGGATGTGGTCAGCTCGTGGAAATTAAAAGGGAAGAGGGAGAATACATGAAAGATGAGAAGAGGAAGGCTTGGCTTTTTTAAGGCAACAAATCTTGGAAGCTCAGGAGACATTTACAGCCAATAGCTTTTTGAGTAAGTTTCGTACTACCCTTAGCTTTGATTCTATACTAATTTCTCTTAGTATAAGTTATAGAGAAATTGAATTGGGAAATTTTAATGGATTTGTTTCTTACCCTTTTGTAATAAAAATGTTCTCAAGAATTGAAGTACGGTGACATTATCTAATGGTCCAATCAAAATTTGGACACCTGGGTATAAAAAGTTACTTTTTCAAAGAAATTAACGAACTCAAGCACTCAAATCGATCCCTTAATCTCATTAGACCATTTTAAGCCTTAGACTAAGTCTAAAAAGACCTAACACACCTGATTGACCATAACATATCATATATATACACATGTATCAAAATTTGGCCATTCAACAGCCTATTTTCACAAAACACTAACTTTTTATAACTACTCACATCTCAACACAAATTGATCAACTTGGCCATTTTCACTATAATATCACTATAAGTCACCACTTTACATATTCACAATATATTTATAACTAAAGCTTAACCCCTATCAATCATTTCACCACACATTTCTATATATGGGTTGAGATTCATGAATTCACTATTGTTTTCCTACAATTCACAATTCAAAACATGCATGAAAATCATATGGCAACTTATATACACAAATTCACATTAAATTAGTTCATTACACAAAACTTAAAGATTCTCATAGCCATGACACCACTATACCGGTCCAAATTCTTTTCCCTTACTACTCTGTCTTGTAAAAATGTAATCATGGGGGTGAGATAATAATCTTAGTAATAGAATAACTCTCTACTATCGACTATCATGTGCAACTATACAAAAGTATAATATAATATACAAGTAAACAAAACATATACATATGTTTCACTTCAAATCACATTAATATAACATTTCACCACTTTTAAAAGTATGTTCACCACTATTCACCACTTTTCATCATTTTTCTAGCATATAGCATGATCACTATCGACTAAACCTCCAAATCACCCTGACTTAAAACCATAGGCTCGCCTTAGGCCAATATACACTCTAGATGGCCCTGAGCTTACCTTCAGTCATAGAATCACTAGGCTAAAGGTGTTTTATCTCACTTTCAAACTATAGTTTCCCTCAATACACATAATGAAGTGTCGTTGACTCCAACACCATATCATATTGATATTAAGGAGTTTGAATCTCCAACACCACACCTTAATATGCACTAAGGAAATAATCTCCAACATTGCACCGTGAAAGGCACTAAGGAGATACAATTCTCCAACACCTCACACCATCGGGCACTAAAGAGAATAATGCTATATGGTCTTTCACTACGCTCCACACGAGTGAACTCCCACCCCTATGATCATGTTTTTTGAACCAATTATAGGTTCCTAATCACTACCACACACACACACACACATATAAGACTACACGATTTCACTTGTTTACTTATCCAAAGTTCATTTTCATGTCATATTCATGCAATAAGACAAAACATGCTCAGCTTAAAATAGTTTCATGCAATAAATAGCATACTAACACATAGTTACAATAAATAATCAAATAAAGAAAGTTATTCAGTTACCTCAACCTTTTTGTCACTAAAAAGGTTTCCCATGGTACTTTCTCAACCACTAGCTTGTCTCTACAAGCTCCCTTTCTTAACTTACTCATGGAATATGCCAATCTACAAACAATTGTCACTATTAGTCAATTGATTCAATTGACTAAAAGCACTAAACGGCTATTTATAGCTATATTTAACCATTCATTACTTTTCACTTAGTCCATCTAAGTCAATTACTACCAATTATCACTTTACATCACCTCAAACGATCACACTCTGCTTAAACATGATTTTCACCCTTAATTTCCATTCAATTAAGGTCAAATTTAAGCTTACGAGTTTAAAGCTCTATCATTCAATTCCAAACCAGTTACAAAACTGTAATTTAGCTCTTGACAACCTTTTTATTACTATAGGGTAAGAAACTAACCACTTAAATTTTCTCGATTCAATTTCTCTATAACTCATACTAAGAGAAATTATAGTAGAATTGGAGGTAAGGGTCGTACGAAGCTTACCCGATAAGTTACTGGTCAAAAATCTCTTCTTAATCCTACTAAACCTTTGGCCTAGCACTGAGATGGCCTCCTCTTCTCTTCTTTCGTGTGTTTTCTCCTTTTTTCCTCTAAAATCATGAGCTCCACATGCATAAATCAGATCATTTTCTGTGCCATGTGCAACAGAATAGGTAGCATTGTGCCGTGGTGTGTGACACAATGAGGAGAATCCTTACCGCACACATACACTTCACCCCAAAACATGGTTCTTTCACCCATATCGGTCCATTTAACATCCCAACAAGTCAAATTATCAAGCAATCATCCAAACCCCTAATCATTCGCTAATTACTAATTTTTCCCTTAGTAATAGCTAATCACAGGATTAGAAAATTAAGATGTTACAAAATTGCTTTGGATTGTGTATGCTTTAAGGAAATAAATGTTTGTGCATGAAAAGGGATTTTAAGGAAATGGAATTCAAAGAAATGGTTTTTAGTAGAAATGCATGATTATATATGTATATATGGATTTGAATACAAATCACTTGTTGCATGCAAGCAAGATCATAGAAGGGTAGGAGTTCACCCATAGGGAGAAGTAGTGAGAAGTCTATATGGCATTATTCTCTTTAGTGCTTGATGGGGTGTGGTGTTAGAGAATTTCATCTCCTTAATACCTATTAAGGGGCGGTGTTGGAGATTATCTTCTTAGTACCTATGTAGGATGCGGTGTTGGAGATAACAGCTCCTTAGCATCCGTGTGATGTGCTATTGGAGTAACAACACCTCAATCATTGTGTGTGATAGGGGAAATCATAGTCTAAAAATGGGACAGAACACCTTTGGCTGGGTGATTCTACCACTAACAGTGTGACTAGGTCAATAAGTGTGTGTTAGCCTAATAAACGCCTATGGTTTTAATCAGGGTGACTTGAAGGTTCAAATGGCAGTTGATCATATTAGTGGTGATAATTTATTGTGAAAAATTTTACATCTAAAGATAATTATACTTTTGTAATGTTTTTTCATTTACAAATGATAATAGTGCATTTGAGACATATTATTTGTTTACATTTGGGGAACGCAAGCAAAAATCATCAGTGGAATGGATTTACCCAAATGTAAGTATGAACCATTAAATTTCATTTTTAACTATCCCTCACATGTTTTTTTTAATTTTAAATTTTCATTTATTTCAATGTTGTAGGTAGCCAAGAAGCACAGAATGTGGATATTATATTATCCGTTATATGTATGAGATAATTATCAAGTAGAAGTATAAATTACAAGTTTTTTTTGTGATTTTAGTTTAATTTCTTGTATTTAATTCCTTAAATATTATTTAATTAATTTTATTAGTTAGATTTTTGATAATACGAAGCCTCATAATGAAGCAAAGATTGACGGCATTCGAGATATTTTGGTTTAATAATTTCTCCAAGAATACTTTCAAAGTGATGAAGAGGTTTAACAAATTCTATAATTTTTTAGTAGTTGAACAAACATATATATATATATATATATATATTTGTAAATATAAATTAAGTGTAGTTGTAACTTATAGTTTAGTCATTATCATTCTATTGGCTGGCAGTTTATAATTGTTGTATAGTCTATAAAATGTTCAGGTTTTATGTTTTGGATGTAGAGAAAAATAAATGTAATTTTTTTTAAAAAAATCAACTTTTAACCACGGTTATTTTAAAACTGTTATTTACAAATAACCGTGGTTAAATTTTTTTTAACAATGGTTTTAAAATAAGATGGTTAAAAGTTTATTTTTTTAAAAAAAAATTCAATTGTTGTTTTCTGGTACTTTCAACATCAGTTATTTAATAATCGGCATGGAAAGTATACTTTTCACTTTATTTTTTTTAGCTTCCCCTTTAAAACCAACATTATTGTTAAAAGTTCTCCCTACAGTGGTGTATACTCAAGCTTTGATGAAGATTAATCTCACTTATCAATAGGTATATAGCTACTGAATAGTTTAAATTGGGTTCTTAGCTTCCATTTGGTTACTTCGTAAATTAAATGTCTCCTTTGGTTTGGTTATGGCTGTGCTTTCATATGTGAGAGTAGATGGGGCAAGTGATGTGTCTTGGAGTAAGTTTTGTTCTGTTCTCTATATACCTATGCCATTTATTATGCTTTCTATAATGGGTCTTAAAAAATTGTGTGGAGGAAATTCATAAAATACTTATTATGAAAAGTTTTGCTATCACTTTCATTGAATAAAATAATCTTGTATAATCAAGATACTACTTGCCTATATATAACTCTAGTTATTAATACTTCTAGTTTTCTTTTTAAGTTTAAAACTCACTTGTTTAATTTGATAAGAAACAAGTGCCAAGTTTATATTTGTAACAGGTAGAATTTAATTGGTCTAACTGTACTATCGTGAAGTTGTGGATTCCCCCCCCCTCAAAGTGAAATAAGTCATCAGATGAACTCAATGGCCTAACCATAATGTCACATGAGCACGATCATTCAAAATTGAGTAGAATCTGTTTTGGGGTAATCGGTGATGGTTAGTGAATTATTTTATTTGCCAAACTGATATCACAGTTTTTACTTTTAGAATACCAAATTAAATTACTTGCTTCAAATCACCAGTTATTCAGTTCGTGTTCATTGATGGATATCTAAATGAGATTTGTTTGTTAGGAACTATAGCTACCAAAATATACTGTTCATTTCTTTTTTTGGTAGAAGCAAAACAGATAATTTTATTAATGATCAATATTACAATTTTATTATACATGCTTAACAACAATGCCAACGTAAAATAGAACTGGAAAAATATTAAAGAACACTTGTGACAAACTGCAGAGATCATGAGCTCGCTTATTTTTAGAATACCAAAATATGTTTAAGATCAAAAGATACTCAAAGTTCATGGTTGGTGAAGGAGGCTAGTGACCATAAGGTGGAGGTTGATAGCTTGGTGGCTTTTAAGTAGGTTGCTTTTCAATAGGTACTTCGTAAATGGGAGGCTTGTAAACTGGAGGTTTTTAAACAGGTGGTTTGTACGCAGGAGGCTTCTCAACTGGGGGCTTGTACAGAGGTGGTTTCTCAATAGGGGGCTTGTACACAGGAGGCTTCTCTACTGGGAGCTTGTAGACGGGTGGCTTTTCTACAGGTGGCTTGTACACGGGTGGCTTCTCAATAGGGGGCTTGTACACCGGAGGCTTCTCAATTGGGGGCTTATACACTGGTGGCTTCTCTATAGGGGGCTTGTACATGGGTGGCTTCTCTACAGGAGGCTTGTAGACTGGTGGCTTCTCAACTGGGGGCTTGTAGACCGGTGGCTTCTCAATTGGGGGCTTGTAGATGGGAGGCTTCTCAACTGGTGGCTTGTACACTGGTGGCTTCTCAACTGGGGGTTTGTATACTGGTGGCTTCTCTACAGGGGGCTTGTACATCGGAGGCTTCTCAATTGGTGGCTTATAGACAGGTGGCTTCTCAACAGGGGCCTTGTAGACTGGTGGCTTCTCTATAGGGGGCTTGTACATCGGAGGCTTCTCAACTGGTGGCTTGTAGACGGGTGGCTTCTCAACTGGAGGCTTGTAGATGGGTGGCTTCTCTACAGGGGGCTTCTCAACTGGGGGCTTGTAGACCGGTGGCTTCTCTATAGGGGGCTTGTACATCGGAGGCTTCTCAACTGGTGGCTTGTAGACAGGTGGCTTCTCAACTGGGGGCTTGTAGATGGGTGGCTTCTCTACAGGAGGCTTGTAGATGGGTGGCTTCTCAACTGGGGGCTTGTACACCGGTGGCTTCTCAACTGGTGGCTTGTATACCGGTGGCTTCTCAACTGGGGGCTTGTAGACCGGTGGCTTCTCTACAGGAGGCTTGTAGACCGGTGGCTTCGCAACTGGGGGCTCATATACGGGTGGCTTCTCAACTGGGGGCTTGTACACTGGTGGCTTCTCTATAGGGGGCTTGTAGACCGGTGGCTTGTCTACAGGGGGCTTGTAGAGGGGTGGCTTCTCTACAGGGGGCTTGTACATCGGTGGCTTCTCAACTGGGGGCTTGTAGACGGGTGGCTTCTCAACTGGTGGCTTGTAGACGGGTGGCTTCTCAACAGGTGGCTTGTAGATAGGTGGCTTCTCAATAGGTGGTTTGTATACTGGTGGCTTCTCAACTGGTGACTTATAAGTGGGAGGTTGATAGTAATATGCAAAAGTAGGAGTGGTGAGAAACACCACTCCTAAAAGGAGCAATACTAAGTGTTTAGAGAACATTGTTGAACTTAAACTTGTGTTTATGCAAATCTTAGAGTAAGGCCCCTATTTATAGTAGAGCAGGCGAAGGGAGTAGGTTTGGAGATGTTGTGGATCTAGTATATTTTAATATGAAAATAAATGAATTATTAATTAAGATAATATTAAAAAATAAAGTCAAGGCTAGGTGTTAGGTGCGAACTCAATCACAATATCTGCTTGCATGCATGTGGATAATTGAGAATCTTGCATTTTCTTCCCATTCTTTGAATAATGCCTCTTTCTTTTCTTTTCTTTTTTTTTTTCCATTGCTTATACTCTTTGGAAATTGCAAGAGTTAATCATGTGTGTGTATAAAATAGACACTTCCAATTACTATTATGTATATCTGGTAAAAAAAAATAGTATCTTGTATATCCAACTTATTTTAGTGCAGAAATTATATTAAATGAATCATTTATTCATATATGTCACTCTAAAATATTTTCAACCATTTATTAGAAATACTAGTCTTATATGCATGCATAAGAAAACTTTACAAATATAATTGTTTTGGATGATTAGTTGATGGACATGGATAATGCTTACTTGCTGGGAATGAATAGATTTATTTATTTATTAATTTATCTATACTTTGAATCATGGTTGATTTTGAATATATATATATATATATATAGAGTAGGAATAGAAATTCTAGATAATCGTCAGCTTGTCCACTAATTAACCACATCAAATTTATATAATATAATATTTTAAATAATATTTGTGCCATATCAACATGGATCGTTTCCTTCGACATTAGCATGTGCACCAGTTGATTCTAAATTATATTTAAAGGGAAAATAATTTCATTAATTCCAATTAGACGTGGCTACCATTTCCTTTTATTGTTCGTTAATTTTGTAAATACAGAATTTCAAAATTATTTATTAATTTATTAAATAGACTCTGATTATGATTTCTCAGGTAGAGACAAGGCTACGTAGAAATTTTCAGGAATGACACCTGCGTTCCAGCTAGATATCATATCATATCATGTCATTTATATTATATTATATTACCTATCACCATATTAAAAAAGTTAATGCAAAATTGTTTATGTTTTTCTCTTGGTTGGTGCATCCGTACGTGCTGGGTTTGGGGTGGGGTATGGCGTTTGACAAATTAACGCGTTGTTCATTTTGGCCATTTATAGATATTGCCCCTTATATCAATTATTATTTAGATCAAGCTTGTCAAGTGGAAAAGAGTGTCGGTGATTTTCCAATTATTATTTGAAGCTTTTACAAATATAGCACATATTATATGATCAAGTTAAATGAATAGCCCAATATTTATTATATTTTATATTATAGTCAGTCTATTATATTTGTCAATGATATATCCTTGTATATTAATGATAAATATTTTTTAAATTTTTAAATTTTTAATAATAAAATTCTTATATATCAATATGAACTGAATATACCCCTAAATTTTCAAAAATTTGGACCATTTTTTTTGGTGCAAGATTTTTTTCAGCCTATAAGCGAATTTATCTTTATTATTTTTGTTATTTTTAATTTTATTACTCTTGAGGAATTTATTCATATCGTTATTTCATAGGTTTCTTTTAAAGAGTCTATACAATGAGATTGATTTATTTACCACAAAAAGTAATAGTTATTAAGACAGTTACTAGCTAGTTTAGTTAAACAGGAATTCAGATATGAAGCGTGATTTTGAAAGAAAATACAAATATAAAATCACAAAAATAATATGTTTTTCAACAAGAACATGTTCTTGTGATTTCAAACTCCTTTTTAGAGCTATATGCTAATTAAGGCTCTCCAGAAGGTGGGTGAGTGAATCGTGCAAAAATCCGATTTATTATTGACCGAATATTTTAGGAAACTCAAGTGCGGAATATTAATTCCACGCCACTTTAAATAGCTTCACTTAAATATTATTTTTTATGCAGTTTTATGTATAACAATACTCCCTTCGGTCCCATTTATAAGGCATATTTTAGAAGATCTATTTAGTTTCATTTATAAGTCACAGTGCTTTTTAAGTAATATTTGAATTTTTAGGCAATATTTAAAATATATTTTCAAAATTACCCTTTATGAGAAAGAAAAACTAACATAGCATTACTTTTTATATTTGTTATATAGGAGCATATTTGAAATTTTACATACTTTATTTTTTTTACTTTTTTTGCATTGGTATTAATGAAGTTGGTAGAAATGACTTATAAAAAAGATCGGAAGAGTACATGTTAAGAATGGATAATGACTACTCGAAAATGTAAGGAGAGGAGAAATGAGTAAGAATAATGAAAAGAGACTATATCTTAACTCAAAAATAAATCTCAAGTCTCAAAATTATGTCATTTCTTTTTATTTTATATTAATTATTAAGCCAAAGTTTATCCTATATGTAAGACTTCTCGGTTTAAATCTACTCATGCCAAGAGAAGTATTCAAACATTTAAGTCATTTTTCCATGATTAAGGCAATGAAAAAGTGAGAACAAAAAAAAAAAGGTAACAGACATATTTCAGGTTAATAATGGAGTTAAATGACAATTTAGATCTTGAACTATAGGTGACAAGATGATCGGGTGATGAGGGCCCCATTTGTTAAAAGTAACGGGCATATCTTAGGTTAACGATAGGGGAAAATTGCTCCAAATTTAATTGTTCAAAACGTAAAATGTATCAAATATGAATTTATAATTTAAATTACTCCTAAGCTTATAGTTTAATGTCTAAATTACCATTTAACTCTTGTTATTAAAACATAGTTTATTATAGATTTTTTTGTTAATGAATTTTTTTTTCAGAAAATTATATTCAAGTCTATTACAACACAATTAGATACCACAAGTCCGCAACACAAGGTTTGACAATTTAACAGCTAAGTTGTTTTGTGATATTCAATTATGTTAATGGACTTAAATATAATTTTCTCAATTTTTTTATCACTACCTTTTTAAAAAAATATTAGGAACAATAATATATAGAATATAAACTGATTTGATCATCGTCTATGATGATGATGATGATGATGATGATGATGATGATGATGATGATGATGATGATGATGATGATGATGATGATGATGATGATGATGATGATGATGATGATGATGATGATGATGACAAAATGATGATGATGATGATGATGATGATGATGATAATAAAAGATGTTGATAATCATTTTCATTTAATTTGTTGTTGAAAAATTCTTCTCTCTCACACACAAACTAATATATATATATATATATATAAAACCAAAAAAAAATATATGAATGCTGTTAACAATTTTTCTTTTCTTTTCTTGTTTTTTTTAAATTCAACTTCATTAAAACATTTAACTAAAACGTGTAGAATACACAAGGTAAAAAGTTTCTTGAACTGATAAGTAGTGTTTGACAAACGAACGCGTTCTCGACATTTTGACCATTGATAATTGCCAATTGCAACTATATATTTAGTTTAAGCTTGTCAAGCTGAAAAGAGTGTCAGTGATTACTTAAAAAAAAAAAAAAAGTGTCGGTGATTTTCTCATTATTATAAATTCATTGCCTTCTTTATTGTGAAGAGTCTATTATTCTTTACCTTTGCATATCAAAAGAACATTGATTTCAAAAGATGACATTATTGAAGAACATAAAAATACAATTTATAAACCAGCTGTCTCATGGAGGCATTTTTTTAATTATAATAATTAGTTATCTCAATAGCAATGTTACTTCCTTTAGTTGAAAGAGATCATAAATTCAAACTCAATATTACCGTGTTTATATACATGCATGGATGCATGTGTCTTCCTTCCTTATAAAAAAAGGGCTAAGTTAAAAGTAAAATTAAAAAAAAAAAAAATTGAAAGCGTTTCTGAGAAAAGGCGTCTCTCTCATAGAAGTGCTTTTGAAAAGCATCGCCAATAATATTGAACCTAAAATCGTCACCTTATGGCACCTCATTGCCACGTGTCCGAAACCTCAAGCCCAATGTTGCCACGTCGCTGCCTTCATGTGTCTGTGATCTCATGCCATATGTTGCTATATATATATATATATATAGCCCCACCACTTTGCATGTTACCAATATTTCAACCCTTAATCTCACATTTTTCTAATTTGTGACCTACATTTTATCAAGCCGAGCTGTAATGCATTTACAGTTTTTATAAAAATTAAATAGAGAGAATTATATTAAAGGATCTTTGATGTGATATTTTTACACATGAGGCCCAAATAAATATGAAATTTCACTATAAGAATTTAGGATTAAATTGAAATTAAAATGGAAGGCAAAATGATTGAATTGAATCTTTATTGTAAATGTTAATTTCATATAGTTACTTGTTAAAATATTTACTTTATACATGTACAGTAATTATTTTAATAAATAAATATAAAGAATTAACAAGTAACATTAAGCGTTAAACAAGTATGTTATTGATGAGTTAACTTATAAAGTAAATATTTTTAACAACTATAAAAATTAACAAATAAAATTATGTGTTTAAGAAATATGTTAATTGAGTTGACAAGTTAATAAGTAACGTGAGGTAATTAATACGTAAAAGTAAAGAATTAAATAAGTAACCATAAAAAATTAATATGTAAAGTAAATATTTTAATAAGTAATTATAAAGAATTAACATGTTAAATAAAAATTTTAATTCATGAAGGTCATTTCACTCATTTTGTCCTTATATTTTAATTTAGTTTAGGCCCAAATCCTTGCAATGAAATTTCAACTTTATTTGAGCCTTTTTTTTAATAATGTCACATCATTAATATTTTATTAAAATTCTCTCAATTAAATATATATTATTTAACTGCATATATATTATATTTTATTTTCAATTAATAATGTCATAAAATAATTTATATTTATATGACTATATATATACTAAATTTTTAATAAATATAATTTTTAAGAAAAAAGAATTTAATTGAAACAAATTTTAAACATTAAATAATTTTCTTATAAATATTTTTAGCCAATTTTTAAATTTTAAATGATAACAATTAAGTATATAATTTATTTATAAATATGTATCATATCATGTTATTTATTTTTATCTTTATATCCTCCATATTTTCTTAAAATTTGATAAATTAATTCTTAAATTTTTATTTTCTACCAAAATGGTTAAATTTTTCTCCTTATTTTCTTAAAAATAAATTTTATCTATATTTTTTATTTATGGTAAAAATTAATTTTAATCATATAAATATTGTTAATTGTCATTTTGGAACAATTTTAAATTTTTTAATAAAAATTAATAACTTACAATACAAAATAATTATAAGAATCTCATATGTGACCTAGCTAATTTTTAATCATTCTTTAGGTTCTTTAAGTCTGCCTTATAACAACAAGATAGAATTGAGTAATCTTTTATATTCTTCTTAATATTCAGTTTATAAATATTTTACGGTGTTGAGATTTTTTTATGTGCTTATTGTAATAACTAATTATAAAAATCTTGTTAGTGACTTCTTTACATTGTTGAAAAAATTGAATTTGAAATATCAAATTTAATAATATTTTAACTGTGATGTATCTTTTATTTATCCTTTAAACAATTTGGATTTTAGATATTATAATTTACATTTAAGAATTTTTAAAATTTTGTATATTTTTATGTAAGTAAGTAAATATTTATGTATAAATTAAGCTAATTATAATTAGAAGTAATCAACCATCAAGCTTTTAATTATATTATGAATAATAAAGAACTAACAAATGATTCAAGAATTAAACTTAACACAACTTCATCATTATACCTTTTGTTTTTCTATCCTTGTTTCTTTTTCTATATATAAAAGAAATTTAATTTTTTAAATATCTTTTGAATAATTTTATTTAATTTAAAATTTTTACAAATAAGTAATAAAAAATATTTTATGTATATCATTTAAATGATAATTTTATAAAATAATTTCATATAATTTAGAATGAGATTTAATTTTAAAAAATACTTTTAGATGCTATAAATATTACCAATGAAAGTAATTATATGTATTATTTTTAATTTTAAAATACTTTTTATAAAAATACTTTTTGTGAAGAGGAACATAACTATCAAAAGTTATATTTTACGGTAACTATCTAGTGTTGCTTCAAAAAATTAAAAGTTGCTATCAAACATCCGTCGATTTTTTATAATAATTTTTCATTATCTCAAAAGAAAAGGTTTTCTTTTAACGGAAATTTTTCCGTGGCCGTCAAAAAAATATATATATTTTTAAGTACATTCACATATCTTTTGTAAATAATCTGCATTATTACTTTATAGAGATCGAGCTCACATGCATTTTTCTTATAATTTCACCTTGTATTTTAGCTCATTTTTCTTATGCATTCTATCTAATTAGGTCCAGTAATTGAGTTTTCATGACAGGGCATTCTAATTTGCATCAAATTTCATTTCTTCTGAGCTTTGAATTTCCAAATTTCTCTCCAATTATATTTTTATACTTGCATATATAGGGGAAAATTGTGGCTGAGTTGCTGGCATTCACACTCGCTTATTTATAAATCTGGTTTATTCCCCCCATTCTTATAAATAAAGGGCCGTGTCATAATATTTTTAAGTAATTAGATAATTTTGTCATTGTCTTGAAAAATGGAGGAGATATTAATTATGTACTTTACCCACCACCACTATGACTTTAATTTTGACATTATAAAGGCAACACTGAAAAATCATTATAATTTTATATAATTTCAACTAAATAACAAACTTTTATTAATATATGGGGTTTGATTGAAAATATCTTATGTATAGGGACAAAGGGAATAATTAATTTGAGATCATTGCATTAGACCTATTATTTCATGTGATTATTTCAAACAAAAATGGCCAAACAGATATATTAAGGAACTCAGAGTCGAATCCTCTCCAGTCCTTCCAATTGTTTGTATATGTATCTATAAAAAATAATAATATAATATTTCATAAATATGATTAAATAGAAAAAAGTATAAATAATGTTTTACAACATATGAAAAATATAATTTTATTTATTATTGTTAAACTATGATTAACAATACGCGCATACACACTACGATATAAATTCATTGAAAACATGCACTTTTATAAAACTCTGTTGACCTTTCACAAATATTATATTTAAAAAAATTGATGATAGATGTTAAAACTGAAATATATATATATATATATATATATTACGTATTATTTAAGTAAAACTAAAATTCAACCCCCCAATGTATGTTATGTTTGATCGGTCATTGAAATTAGTAATTGATTAGAGGAGCATTTGACATTCGAGACCCATCACTATAACAAAAATAATATGGGTTAAAAGTGTATTTTTGTCCCTCAACTATCTACTTAGAAATGTCTAATATTCTAAAGTTATATGTGATGCAATTTTTTCTTTTAACATTTGAAAACTTCATTAAAAATATTAATTTTGACTATCAGTTAATTTAAAAATTAAAAATGTCAGAAAATGATCAATAAAATTACACATAAGTATCCTATAAAAAAATTAATATCAAAAGTTGAAAGAAAAAATTGCTCTTGAGTAAATAATTGAGAGATCAAAATGCTCTTTAATCCAAATAATATTTATCCCTCTCCTCAGTGAGAGAAAATCCCTCTTCTCTTTGGGGAGTTGTGCAATTCACCTTCATCTTCTCTGTTAATGTCTTCGCCTTCCATCTTCACCTTTGCGCTGTGTTTTGAGCTTTTCTTCATCTTTTCCTCACTCGTTTCTATTTTTATTCAATTTTGGTTTTGGGCTAATCTCTAACTGGGGTTTTACCTAGTGAGAGCTTCTGGTTTTGAGATTGGATTTGCTTATGGCTTTGGAAGATTGATGCAGAGGCATCCCACTGGAATGCAAGGAAGCGACAGTGCAGTATGAGCAATCGCTCTTGCTTATTGGTCGGATTTTCACGGAAAAAAAGTTGAATCTCAAGATGGTATGGGAAACAGTTCTTAAATCTTGGCATCAAGTTAACGATTATGATGGGCTGTTGATTTTTAGCTTTACAATGAAGAGTTATTATGATAGAGTTCTTCAAGATGGGTCGTGGAACATCAACGGATCTAAACAAATGCCATTTCTGGATTCAGGTACAGGATTTGCCAAAGGAAGCAATGATGTTCAAGAACATTATTACTATGGGAGGGCAAATTGGTGAGGTAATTTGTTTTGAAGACCCTAAACTGAATGATGTTATTTTTCATAAATTTGTTCACACTCGGGTTGCTATTGAGTTAACTAATCCTTTAATCACTAGTTTTTGGATGTCTCAACCAAATCTTCCTAAAGTTTGGATTAAGGTTTGGTTTGAGAAGCTTAAAAGTTATTGCTATAACTGTGGCATAATGGGTCATAACTGGAAATCATGTGATCTAGAACAAAAAATGTCTGAAGAAAATACAGAAATGCCAATGTATGATGCTTCACTTGGAATTAATCCAATAAGGGCTGTTTCGATGATTATCTCCGTCTATAATGGGGTGGTTTTCATTGAGATGGATTTGGCACGTGTATCTTCTGAATTTGGAAGGAGCGTGAGAGATGAACAGTCGATTAATCGTGCAGTGCAACATGAATCCATTAGAAACAGTTGGAGACCCAAGATAGTGCATTTTGCATTCGAGCATGCAAATTCTTGTGTCATGAAATTAAGGGATGGTAATAATAATAATAATTTTGGTCCTAGTAGTAAAGAAGGGAAGAATGTGGTAATGGATAATATAGAGAAGGGGGAAGAAGTGATCAGCCCAAATAAAGACAAGGGCCCACTTTCTGGTGAACCTAATATCTCTCAAATATTCTCATCTTCTTTTGAGTTGAAAAGCCTGATGCAAACAGATCCTCAATCTTAGCTCAATAGTAGATCCAAAGTTCTATTAAGCTTGAAGTAGCCCCCTTTAATCCAAACAAGGCCTCCAATTTGGCTCTTGCTCTGAGTCCATAGCAAGGTAATAAATATACTATTATTGCTGGTCCACACTCTTTTAGCCCTAATTCCCATCCTGAGCAATTGGGGAACACTTTTTTTGCACCTTCTAGTCCAAATATTGTGGTTTGACCTAATATGGAGGCTGTCGTGAATTATTTTGTCAAGCTTGCACCTGGAGATGATGATAATTAAATTCAATCTAGTGTTGTTGCTTATCCCCTGTATTATGAACGTCTCCTTATTACAGGAGTTGAGCATATTACCTTTAAGAGACAAAGAGGAGATGACTAGGAAGTACCTGTTATGGAGAGATTGAGAATATGCGAACCAACTTGATTTTAAAGTTTTTCCAATGGGTTTGAATAATGAAATTGGTTTTCAACTAGGGAAAGAGAAGAAGCTTCTCTTAAAAGTAAAAAGGAAAAGAGGAAAGGGGAGAACTAGTTGGCTAGCTGTGATAGAAGAGATTGTTGAAAAGAAAGCTTTTGAGCTCCCTACTGTTTTGTAATTAGTTGAAGGGCAAGGTGACTAGCCCTCAATGGTCACTTGGTCACAATGAGTACTTTGGCTTAGAACTATCAAGGGGGAAGTTTCCCATTGATAGTAAGGAATTCCTTATCAATCACTACAGACCAAATTAGGTTTTCTTCTCTAAAACTTGGAAACAAAAAAATCAACTTGAGAATGTAATGGTTCATTTTGGATTCCAACATTCTCTCTATGTTGATCTCATAGGCCTCCTTGGTGGTCTTTGCCTCTGGTTGAAGGAGGAGGTGTAAAATCCTGTATCCAATCTAGCCTTTACTATTCTCAAACACATAATCATCATACAATATTAGAGTAATAGCCCTCAAATTATTTTCAAAATGCGGGATCCCCAACTTTGTTAAACATATATTCAAATGAAAAGGTTAGAGGAAGCGTAAACATAATTTAATGATTCAAAGAGGCACAATTATTTTTTTGTACAACGTGCCATGCACTACGGCATGTGGTACAAAGCCACAGGCTTTATTTCCCTCTGTGCTATGAGCCATGGTGTGGCATACAATGTGCCATGATGCATATAACAATAAATTCTGCTATCATATGACAGTTTGAAAGACAAACTTTCATATTTGACGTTCGATTGGAGTGATTTAAGCGCCTACATGAAGCTTATAACATATTCTATCTAATGAGATAAGTTTGGACTCGATCTAACGGTCCAATCTAAAATTGGACATTAGGTGCAAAAAGATACTTTTTCTTTCAAAACTTGCACCCTAAGTGTTCAATTCTCATTTCTTGTCCCATTAAACCACTCTGGGCCTTGAACTAAGTCCACAAGGACTATATACACCTAATTGACTCATCACAATACCAATATCACATCAAATACTTAATTTGACTTCTCAATACCATATTACACAACTGTAGACTTATATGAGGCACAACATATAAGCACACAAACATATAGACTTGTTCCACTTTTAGCCATCCGACTCTCACATATGGGGCTTTGTCTCGCCATATAGTAGGGAATCACAATATACTTGACTCTTCTAAATGAGACTCAGCCTCACTATTTGTGTCAAGTTCTCACAATACACATAATTTCACATTCAATTCACATTTAATACAAGTAAATCAAGTTACACAATAGCATACATTTGCTTATTTGGCATCTAAGCCTACCCACGTACCCATCACTATGGTACCCTTGACGAGATGCAACATCATATATACAAGCAAGTATTCAATAACAATTCATATACACATTTACATATTTATATTCACATATTCTTAAGCATCCCAGTTGGCAACTTAATTTTCTAACTACAACTTTATACATTCATGATATACAATGGTAGTCATACAATTACCAATTGAGGCTACTCTTTCTTCACTTTCTTTCCTGGCCTTCTTGTACTCTCTTCACCTATGTACAAAGGTAACGGAGTGAGACATAAGTCCTAATAACTTGGATCTAATCCCAAATACCAGTTAGTAAGAAAAATTATAAACAAGAGATAAAGTAGCATGTGTTTCAATAAAAGTAGTATAATAAGCATATACAAGAATTCATACATATCCATCCATCATGCTTATGCTCATGCATTCCCGGTTCCACTTAGCGGAGCAAGCTCTATGCTCAAACTAAGACTTCTAGTCTTACACAAAACAAGGCCCACCATACCTCTATCTTAGACTAGATATCCTCTTCACATATAGGTGGTTTCCTAGGTCCTTCCTGGCAGAGTTAAGCTCTATGTTTAAGACCTTTAGAACTTTTTAGACTTACACAGAGTAGGGTCATGACCCCTTACCCTAGTCTAGGGTATATTTGCGGATGCAATACATATGTCTCATTCCATACATCTCATACATTACTCACACACTCGCATGCATATTCCTTTTACAATATTACTACTCTATCAGTTCATAAACACAATGAACATAATTATATAAAATACTTGTAAACAATTTCACAAACGAACAAGTAAAAGGGTTACTCTAGTTACCTTTTAACCTTATTATCAAAGGTTATCAATTACATTAAGCTCCCAAGGGTGTAGATTGTCACCCTTTAGTCAATTCTCAGTACTCAGTATAGGCATTGATTCAACTAAACTGAATCCCTTAACACACAAAATAGTCAAATTAACACTTTTCAAATTCATAAAATCCATTATCTACAGTAATTGGCCTTATAGGCTGTTCAAATGATCAAAACAACTTTCTAACTCATTTATTTACCAATTTCACCATTTTAACCTAATTCTTTAGGGTAATTTGAGCCTAAATCCTTATGGTTCAACCATTTATCTCCAAAGTAGTCACAAAAGCTTAGTTTTATATTTGAAAGCCCTTTTTAAACCTTTCCTTTAGATTTTAATTCCTTAAAACTTCCTAATTCAATTTCTCTACCAACCAAACTTAGAGAAAATAGGGTAGAAATATAGTATAAGGCTGTATGATATTTACTCAACAAGTCACTAGCCAAAGCAGACTCCCAAACTCTAGATATTTGATGCCCTAGCAGAGAAGCCTTCCTCCCACACTTTAGGTGTGCTTTCTCTTCTTTCCTCTTCTGATTTCACATGCAGCTTTTGTCATAGCATGTGGAATAGTAAGAAAACTCTCACTGCTACTCGCGCGTTTCACGCCGAATTGCTGTTCTAGCCTTTAATCTTATTAACATAACAACCAACCAATATCATATGTTAATCCAACACTCAAACCATAATCAATCCACTAATTACTAATTTACCCCTGATTAATAACTAGTTTTCCTGGATTGAAATTCAAGATGTTACAAGAGACATCAATAACTACAGGTACTACTTCAACAAATTATTTGCACATTAGGATTGATGGGGCAGTTGAAAGCTTGAAAGTTTGGGTGACCTTTGTTTATTGCCCTTTTATTGTTGCTAAACGAAATGGATAGTGGTGGCAACTGGTAAGATTGAACCCGAGTCCTAATACATTGTAGGTATATGTAACATCTTGATTTTCAATCCCAGGAACTAGTTGCTAATCAGGGGTAAATTAGTCATTAGGAAATTGATTGTAATTTGGATGTTGAGTTGATGTTTTGTGTTGTTTGGGTGTTACATTGATAGGATTGAAGGGTAGAGAGATAATATGGGATAGAACGCGCGAGCACAAGTGAGAATTTTCTCACTGTGGCACATGCCACAGTGAAAGCTGCGTGCACCACAGCGCACTATCCATAAATCACTTAAAGCTAACGTAATCAGCTCGTGAAATTAGAAGTAAGGTTGTTGGAAATGCATTTGGAGGAGTGGAGGAGTTTAGCTTTGCTAGGGCAAGAATTATTTAGAGCTTGGAAGTTTACTTCAATTAGTAACTTGTTGGTAAGTATCACGTAATCCTAAGCTTCAATTCTACCTCTTTTTCATTGAATTTTATCAATTGAGAAATCAAATCATGAGATTCTGAGGTGTTGTAATCTAAAAGAAAGGTTTAAAATGGGATATCAAATATAGAACTAAGGTTTTGTGACTAGTATGGAGTTGAATGGTTGAGCTTTGAGCATTTAAGCTCTAAATGACCTAAAAGTTAGGTTAAAAGGATGAAATTAGTGGAATAAATGTGTTGGGAGATTATTATAGTTGTTTGAGTAGCCTATAGTGCTAATGACTATAAATAATGGATAAGTGAATTGAAAATGGTTCAATTAAACTATTTTATTCATTAAGGGATTCGGTTTAGCCGAATCAATGCCTGCAAAATGTGTTGGGAATTAACTAAGGGGCACTGTGTTATGTAGATTGAGCACCTGTGAAGTTGCTCGTGAGAATCTGCGCCCCTGGGAGCTTAGTGTGATTGGTAACCCTTAGTAGCAAGGGTTAAAGGTAACTAAAGTAACCCTTTTACTTGTTTGTTTGTGAAATTATTTACAAGTGCTTTGATATAACTGTGTGTATTGTATTGTAAACTAATAGAGTAGCAACATTATGAAAGTATATGTATGCGGGTGTGTGCGTATTGATTGAAATAAATTTGAGATGGCATGTGCATTGACATGCATTGCATCCACGAGATATACCCTAGATTATGGTGAGGGAAATGTGGCCCTACCATGAGAAGGTCCAGGAAATCTTAATAATCCAGAGTGTAAAGCTTGATTTCGCCAGGATGAACTTAGGAGAAGAATCCTGATGATTCAAAGCATAGAGCTTGACTCTGCTACGACGGACTTAGAATATTAAATGATCCGCAAGGTTACCCTAAACTAGGGTAGGGGTCGTGGTCCTACTCTATATAAGGTTAAGAGGTCATGATGATCTAGAGCATAGAGTTTGACTCTACTATGACGAACTTAGGAGACCATCCATACAAGAAAATGAGCTGGCTTGAGTAGTGGTATGGTAGGCCTTGTTCCTTGTGACTGAAAGTCTGGTTTAAGTATAGAGATTACTCTACCAGGGGAAACCACGAATGCATTGCATAAGTATAATGAGATTGATGAGAATGAATTCTTGTATATGCATATGTTACTGTTTTATGACTACACATGCTCCTTTATCACTTATTTATGATTTTTCTTAGTAACTGATAATTGGGGTTACCTTCGAGCTACTGAGATGTATGTCTCACTTTGTTACTTTTAAACACTAGTGAAGAGGGCACGAGAAGACCGAGAAAGGAAACGAGGAAAGAGTAGCCTTAAGTGGTAGTAGTATGACTATCTTTGAGTAAAAATGAAAGTATAATGTGTTGATAGAGTTAAGTTGAAAACTAGGATGCATAAATGTGTGTGAATATGAGGAAGTAGATTGTATTGTGAAACTTGCTTGTATATATATATGTATATGATATTGCATTATGCCGAGCATGCCCTAATAGAAGGTACATGGGTAGGCTTAAATACGAATCAAGCAAGTATAAGTATGTTGTAACTTGTTCCACTAGTGTATATATGTATTGATTGTGATTAATTATGTGAATTGAATGTGACTTGTGTTGTGATTTGAGATTTTGATACAAATGGTAAGAACTTCACACAAATGGTGAGGCAGAGCCCCATTTGGAAGAATCAAGTACATTTGTAATTCTCGACCATATGGTAAGGTAAAGCCGCATTTGTGAGAGTCGAAGGATTGAAAGTAGAACAAGTCTAGTTATATATGTGAATATGTGTTGTATATGTGTATTCCTTATATAAGACTACAATTGTGTAATGTGGTTTTGAGAGGCCAAAATAGGCTAATAATGTACTATTTGAGATATATTGTGCTAATCAGGTGTATGTGGTCCTTTTAGAGTTGGTTTAAGGCTTGAAGCGGTCTAATGGGACAAGTAATAAGAATTAAGTACTTAAGGTGCAAGTTTTTGAAAGAAAAGTAACTTTTTACACCCAGATATCTAATTTTAGATTAGACTATTAGATTGAGTCCAAACTTGTTCCATTAGCTAGTATACATTGTAAGCTTCGTGTGGGCGCTTGAATCACTTTAATCGGATGTCAGATGTGAAAATGGTGCACGCCAGAAGTTCATCATTTTTACTGTCAAAAGAAATTCGAATAGGCATGCTGCGGCACATGATGTGCCCGCCACAGTGCATGATGCAATCAAAAATAGAGCACGTAGTTCTATGCCACATGGCGCACATGTTGCACGCAGCAGCACATGGCCCTTTTTCAAGGTTGAGAAGTTATGGCTTTTTGAGTCGTTTGATTATGTTTACGCTTCTGTTATCCCTCTTATTTGAATATATATTTTAAGAAGTTAGGATCTTGTATTTGAAAATAAATACAGGGCTATTACTCTGACATTACTCTGATTTGGTTTTGGTTGATTGTGTGATGTGAAATGGTAAAGCCCAGGTTGAGACGAGACTCTATAGTTTGGATCCAGACTTTACAGTATGCTTGGGTGATTTCAATTATTTTATTGCACATTCTAAAAAGGAAAGGGGATTTGTGAGGCCAAATAGGCTTTCTTCTGGCCTTTATGATTTCATTCAACAATACTATCTGATAGATCTTGAATGGAAGGGACAATTTCTTACATGGTTAAATAATAGGGAAGGTGAAGATTTCATTACAGAACGTTTGGATAGGGTTGTCTGCAATCCTATCTTGTGGTTGGAATATCCTAAAGCTCTATCACTAGTTTTGGAACTCATTGACTCAGATTATTCCCCCATTATTCTACATTCCAGTTTTTCTAAGTTGAGAAGAGATTATAATTTTAGATTCAAACAAATGTGGATTTCTCATCTAGAATTTCTTAATGTTGTTCAAGAAAGTGGGAATTCAGCTTTAGTGGTGTAGGAGGATGTGATTGAGGATCTTTGTAGTAGGCTAAATGTTACTTACTAGGCTCTATTGCATTGGAGTAAAAAGGTTTTTAGAAATAATAAATTAGCTTTTGCTAAAATTAGAGAAAATCTCATGGGAATCTATATGGGTGATTGGGATTTTGCTAAAGCTAAGATGGTCAAAGAGCTTAAAAGAGAGCTTCTTTTTAGATGGAAGAACGAGGAGTAATACTGGGCACAAGATCTAGAGTTAATTGGTTGTAACTTAGTGATCGAAATTCTAGTTTCTTTCATCTTTCAATAGTAGTTTGAAGACAAAGAAATAAAATTGTCTCCATTAGAGATAGTAATGGACTCTGGTTAGAGGATTAGCATCACATTGATAACCAATTTGTAGAATTTTATAAAGATCTTTTTACATCCTTTGGGCATTGTAAATATGGTGGTATGCTAGAATATGTGAAGCTAGTAATTATTGTTCAAATGAACAATTCACTCCTCATTCTAGTCTCTAAAGAGGAAGTCAAGCAAGTGGCATTTGCACTATGAGGTCTTAACGCCCTTGGGCCTGATGGCTTTTGAAGTATTTTTTACCATTCTTCTTAGGAGATTTTTCAATATAAGATTTGTGACATTGTAAATGGCTTCTTCTCAACTGACATGCCTTTGAATCTTTTGAATGACACTTTGTGATAATTCCTAAAGTTGATAGCCCAAAAATTGTAGGACAATTTTTCCCTATAAGCCTATGTAATTTTTCATTTAAAATCATTAGCTCTCGGTTGAAACCACCTTACCTAATATCATTTGTAAAAATCAAAGAGCTTTTGTTGCAAAGAGACAAATCCAAAATAATATTATTATTTTGCAAGAGCTTTTTCATTATCTTAAGAATAGGAGTGGTGATAAGCATGAGCTTGCCTTGAAACTTAATATGAATAAGGCTTATGATTGCATTGAATGGGATTTCTTAAAAGATGTGCTCTTGAAAATGGGTTTTAATCCATTGTGGATTGCTAAAGTTTTGGCTTGTATTTGTTTAGTTACTTTTGCCTTTCATTTTGCTGGTAGAAATATTGCAAAGATCACTCCTCAAAGAGGGCTTCATCAAGGAGATCTTCTCGCCCCACCTTTTTATTATCGTGGCTAATGTTCTTTCCAATATGATTAATGATTTAGCTGCCTATGGTATTTTGACTAGCATTACTCCTGCCAGAGCTTATCCTTAAATTACCCAGAATTTTTTGTTGTTGATGACTTTGTGTTTTTTATTAAAGTTGATTAACATAATTGTGATTTATTGAAGTATACTCTTGATTTGTACTATAATGTGTCTGGCCAGAGGATCAATTTTGATAAATCTTTCCTTTTCTTCTCCTCCAATACCCCTAAACCTATGTGAGTTTATTTTTATAATCTATTAAATATTCATAGTATGGATTGTCCTAACAAGTATCTGGGTTTGTAAATTTTATGGGGTAGATCTAAGTCTAAGGCACTAGGCTTTGTTAACGATAAGGTTAAAAAAAGAATTCATGGATGGAAAAATAAATTTCTTTCTTTTGCTGGGAGAGAAGTCTTGGTTAAAGCTGTGACTAGTGCCATCCCAACTTTTTCCATGAGTTGTTTCATTTATCCTAAAATAACTTGTTAAGACTTGAATAGGCTTATCTCTAATTTCTAGTAGGGGCAGAAAGCTAAGGAAAAGAAAATTCACTGGGTAGCATAGGACAAACTGACTCAACTTAAGTATAGTGGGGGGGCTTCGTTTTAAAGACTTTGGATTTTAACCTTGCTCTCCTTGCTAAACAAGCATGAAAAATTTTAAATGAACTTAATGAATTGTGGATGCAAGTTCTTAAATGGATTTATTTCCCTAAGTCATATTTTATGGCAGTAAAGATAGGTTCTCAGGCCTCATAAGTCTAGACCAGTCTATTAGAGGGCCGTACTCTCCTTGATAACAAAATTTTTTGGACTCTTGGGGATGGCAACCAACTTACTTCTATTTCAATCCTTAGATCCCATATATCCCAAATCATCATTTATCAGTTGATGAACTTGTTGGTAGGCCTCTAAAAATAAGAGTAGTAGATTTTATTCATAATGGTTATTGGAACATTGAGCTTGTTAAAGATTCTTTATCTAGACAAGAAGTGGAAGCTATTGAGAAAATACCTATTTCTCAACACTCCAAACTTGATCATTGGTTTTGGACAGGCTCTAAGAGAGGGGTTTTTTTTAGTAAAAGAGGGTTATAGATGTTTAAGAGTTGAAGCCTTGATTGGTGGGTCTAATGCTTTTAGGAGTTCTTTCAATTTGTCAACACAGTTTTTGAAAACCACTTGGCATCTTAAAATTCCTGAAAAGGTCAAACATTTCATATGGAAAACTTTTAAGAATGCTTTACTTGTTTTGGCTAAACTTTTTTAGTTTAATATTGTTATTTTGCCTCTTTGCCCTTGTTGTCACTCTTACTTTGAATCTATTAGACACCTCTTCCTTGCTTGTGATTGGGTTAGACGTACTTGGTTTAGCTCTTCTCTTACTTTTAATCATGATTTCTTGTGTTTTGAGCATTTAGACC